TGCCGTGAGAGCCGTGAGAACCCGACAACATTTTATGGAGCTTGATTTGGTCAAGGGCTGAATCATTGCGCGCATGCTTCTTTCAGGCTGCCTGCAAATAAGTCCGGCCCGCTCGGCTCCGAACGTAGTATACCAGACCTAGTGTAGACTCCGTTTTTGTTTTTTTTTTGGCGCCTTTTGATCATGACACCATATATATACATGTACTTGTCCGGCCTTATGTAGTAATTGACCCCCTGTCCGGAAGGGCGGTTGCACCGTTCGAACATCCTCTTATGACCCCATCACTTCAAGGGACGGTACCCATGGCCCCAAGTCTGACTCGTGCAAAAACCCACCGAAGAAGGGACCCGACCCCCGGAAATCCGGTCGATGCAAGGCTTTCACACTGCGGCACTTGCCACAGCTTGCCGCTTGGGAGGAGCCAAATGAAGGGGAGCGGGAGACCTGGAGGTCTGTACTCTGGGAAAGCGCCCAATAATCCTTTTTTGTTTTGGTTTCCTGCAAAGCAACCTGAGAAGGGTATCTCACAACTTGCACCAATGTGCGTAGCATCTCATGTGTGAACAACAATGCTTGATCGAACCCATTCAACGGGTCATCCAAAAGTGTGCTTTCTCAATTTGTTTGGCGGGGCGTATCTTCAAAAGTCAAGCAACCGGCTTTTTCCTGCATGGGCACCGGTCCCAGCACATAGGCCCGAGTCACTGGCAAGTGGTCAATTCAATTTGGGCGAGGGAAACGTTCCATCCGCATCGGCCAGTTGGATTTGCCAGCTGTTTGGGATTGGACAGATTTTGGTCTTGCACCATGAACGGAGGATGCGGGTTTTGGGATATCCTGACTTGCGGAAATTGTGGCAACTAAGCCCCGGGGACCCTGAATCGAGGATGGGCATGTTTTGTGGAGGCAAGGGTGTGTCCTTCTTTAGAGATTCCCTGCGGGTTTTCCTGTTGAGTTCCTTTAAAGCAGTCAAGAAAAGGTACCCTCAGAAAAAGACGAGCCACCAATATTCTTAGGCAGTTTCCTTTGAATCAACTCCAGACGTCTTCTGCACTTAGGGAAGTCACACGGCTACCATACCGAAGGGAGAACTCGTTCAGGGTTGCAACCATGTGCTTTGATCCCTTTCTTGTTCCGGGTGGAGGGGGTGAAAATGTGCGTTTGTTTGCATGCACTTTGATTTGTTGCTTTTTGTTCTGATGAATGGGAAACGTGCGCTTTCCCATTCATCGCTCAATTTTCCTCGTTATTTTGGGCGGAGGGGTGAGGAGGGGAGGGGGGAGACAATGCCGCACCAAGCTGTTTTGCCAGATTATCTTGTTCCAGGCTGCATTGGATGTGTTCGCGCATGGGTCTGTACTTTTTGGAGAGTTGGGAGACCAAAGGGAAAGCCACCGTTTGGAGGGGTCCCCTTTAACAAAAAGACAGACCCATATGTTTTCGCCGGTATCTCGTGCCTGTTTTTGCTCCGGGGTTCTGCATGCTGAAAATCGAGGCACGCTGCCAGTGCTGTCTCTGCTCGCCGGCTGGAGCATTCGATCTTCATTTTACTCGCACCACCAACTTTGTATGGCGCCATGGCGGAAGTTTACCGATGTTGCGACTCGAGGGGACTGGACACACAAGTTAAGTTTCACTTACCCAAGGCGGATCAACCTTTTGATTTGACCTTTTGGTGTTCCCATTTGGTCCATGTTTAGTCAAGATCACAACCTTTTACTTTCAGGTTCTTTGGAAAACCGAGGGTTGCATTGAATGACTGCCTGAGAGAGACATTGCATGAGCGCATGAGTTTAAAGTGTTGAAGACACATTCGTTGACTGTACACTACAGGGTATGTCCAATGCAAGGCAAGGCCATATGTGTACTGCAATGATCATAGGAGTGTTGAGCTCGACGTGCTCGAGGCAGCCTGTCACCAAGGTCTTCGCTAGGCAGGTGTCCATCAAGGTTTGCTGTCCCAACACCCAGGTATTTGTTTCATTTCCAGGGAACATTTCAAGAAAGCATCCGACCCAGAGGAACTGGCCGAATGCTGGTTCGACAGAATCCCTAGAGCAAACATGCCACTACGTAGCGTCCATATGTTCTGGAGAGCCATTCCCTATAAATACCAACAAACAATGGTTTCCCATGGCTCCAAAGTGGTGCAGGATTTCGTCCATCCACAGTATGTTTTGTTGCAGCAAGATGCTAGGGTTAACCAAGCCTAGTCTCCAGCTGGGAATGACGATGCTCGACTTACAGACTACCGCCTGAGGTGATGCTGTTTATTGTGCATATGGCAAGCGCTCTAGGCCGGCTGGATCGAGCGTGAGTTCTTCGTCGTTCTGTCCATGTGTTACTTGCTCGGGTTTTGCAAGATCCCCAAGGCTCACGCCTCTCAAATGCAGGCCCCCCGGGCCCTCCAATGAAGAACCCGAACTTTTCAGGGACACATTTTGAGGCCTTAATTGGGGATATTCAAGTTACGAGTCCTGGCAGATGGCACCAAGGTAGATGCCCGAGGTGCCAGCCAAGCTATGTGGCCACGCCATGACAGATTGCACTTGGCTCTGGCTGATGTGAGTCCTGCATTTACAAGCACTGGGAGTGTATGTGTGTTTGTGCCGTTCTCGCATGTTCAGCTTTTTGTGCTCATAATTGTTGATAGGGATCGCCTAGAGTACGCTCAATGAGCTGCAGCGTGCCGGGATGTTAGAGCTTCTCAATCTCGTGACCAACAAGCGACAGCTTACCTTTGCTTTGCAGCGCGCTCCCTCTCAAAAGCATCCATCATTTGTATGGTCCGATCAGAAACACTAGTCCGATCAGAAACTCCAGTACTCGTCCACGGCGCAGGCAAGTCAATCATACCTTGTCAACATGCGATGTTGAGACATCGTTATGGCAATTATTTGGCATTGGACACGTGCTGCTTTTCACTTCCCAAGCTTCCCTGCTTGGGGTTTTTCGCGGCTGCGATGCCATCCCGTGCTGGCTTCCCAGACCCCGACCCGGAGGTTTTGCCCTCTACTTCGCAATGATGAAGTGGGCGGCTCTCGGTGCAGCAGCGGTGGCTCGATCAGAGCGCGTTTGGGAATGGGCATGGGCAGTCGAATGGACTGGCGTCAAATGCATATTGACTTGCATTGACAGAATGTGTGTGTGTGTGTTTTTACCTGGACGCTTCAACTAGGTCCCCAGTAGTGTCCTTTTACCCTCTTTTGGGGGTAGGGTTCCCCTACTCAAATAGACTACAGAAAAGAAAGGGTATCCTTGTTCTAACCTCTCTACTGGAGGACCTGGAAGAATTGGGAGGCGGTTGGGAAGGTTTTTTTCGAGGTTTTGAGGGGGGTGGTGCTTTTGGGGAAGATTTTGTTTTTGGTTTTGGAGGAGGTTTCTTACTACCACTCGTACTACCCTCGTACTAGCAAGTTGCTACTTCGAGGCGGAAATGCCAAAGTGTACTTCGGTGCGCGCCGCACTTGAGCCACAGTCAAAACCCGGGTAGATGAAGGTTAGCAAGGGACAATCCCAACCATGAATAGTTGCGGCCGCCTTCTTAATTCTTTACGCGGTTCCGGGTAGACCATTTTGTTACCGGGTTTTGATTATGACTCACTTGTACTGAAACTAAGATGCGTAGAAATTCAGGAAGCTTTCAGGAGCGATAGGGTCAATAAAGAAACGACACCTTCACAAGTGTTGGTCGGCGCTCACCGAGTGGTTGACCTGCTCTTCATGGAATACGATGTCTGCAATGCGTCTTTGAAGCAAGACAAAGGCATTGAGGGACTGAGGATTATCTATCTATTTATATAAATATATAAATGAATACAATATATATATATAGTTGCAACTGTAGACATATATACATATGTAATACAACTATATCTAGAAATAAATGCAACTAAATAGATGTATATATATATATAAGTGAAAATATATATATATATATATATACACCTTGGTTGGGGATGATATAAATCGAGGTTCCCTCGCTCAAGTTTTCCCGGTCCATCTCGTAGCTGGATGGCATTGCTGGAGCTGACTTTGCCCATGCATGGCAAGCCCAGTCGGCCGAAAAGCAGAGGGCCACTGGAGGTCGGATCTTGGATTTTTTGCATTTTGCGGCCACAGGAGATCCTGATCTTTGTGGAAATTATATAACTTCAACCTACCATGTGCATATTTGCTGGCTGTTTGCCATACTCATTGTGTACACGTGAGATGAGCATCGCAAAATTGGACTGCTCTCAGCCTAGGTGGTCATTGCAGGTTGCTACCTCTTCGTCTGGTATCAGGTGCTTTTCGTCGCACCGCCGAGCGTCAGCGTGCATGCAGCTAATGTGCAGGATGTGAAGGCAACATGTCCTTTTCTTCCCTTTGGAGGGGGTCGGGATTGTTCTGGGACTGTTGTAGGGATGTGTTTTGACATGCTGTTTGACGTTTCGTTTTGGTGTTGACTTTTGTTCTTGATAGTCAGAAGCGAGCCGAGATGTTACCTGGAACACCTCCCTAAGATATGTGTTGGATGTCAGAAACAGACACAGAGCATTTGGCCATTTGCCAAAGCTGGCAAAGCTAAAAGCCTTTTAACATGACTGATTAGGCGTGGCTCAAGATGGACTTTGGCTTTGAAAGGTTTCCGACGAACGGAATCTTAAACGGCATAGATTAATAGATGCGATATGTCCTTGCCAATTGTTTTGACAGCGGCTCACACTACGGGCGCTTTTCTCTCTCTTTTCTCCTCGGCGTTTTCCCCACCCCCCAGCGGCCCAACACCTCTTTCGTTGCGGCGGTTCCTTGACGTGTGCACTGGATCCAGGCCACTGACCTGGGGACCTCTGACCTGGGGACCTGGGGACCGACATCGAAAGTTCATGGTGCAGTCTCCAAAATCCCCCTGGGTTTAGCTCTCCCCTGAAAGCTGGCCGAAACAAGAACAAGAAAATGTGCCATCTAAGTTTTGTTCACCCCAAAAGTGGCCAAAAAGGGACGAATCTCCGCCGAGAATTTCTGCTCAAGCGCGGGGATATTTGACAGTCAGATTTCTCACGCGGACGGCCCAATGTCTTGGCGCCTTGGCTGAATTGCGGCAAGTGGATGGTTGACATGTGAGTAACATAGGGCCGGTGAATCAGTACTGGCCTTGTGCCCATTCCTTGGATTGCCCAGATACCCTGTTTGGTTCTTCCCCTTCAAGCCTTGCCCTCTAGAGGCCTTGTATGTCACTTTGCTAAACTGACAGCTTCTGCAGGAATGCGCGTTTGTCTCTGGGTCTTTTGTGCTTCACCCTATTGTTTTCTGCTCGAACTTTCTCGCTGTACCCCTTCCCCCCAGACCCCGTCCGAAGCCAGCGATCGGATCCGGATCGATCCGCCCGAGGCCTTGGCTGGTTGCCCTAGGGCTCGCCACTGTGCAGGCACTCGACTTGCAGGTGACCAGCGTGTCGAGGAGCAACGGTAGCTGAGTCACGAGAAATTTCGGGTGGGGTGGCGTGGGGGTGGCGTGGGGGTGGGGTGGGGTGGGGTGGGGGTGGGGTGGGGTGCGGTGAGGCCCTGTGTGTGTTTTTTGGTGTGTGTGTTTTGGTTGCGGGGTTTTGGGGTTTCCCAGAAGTGCAAACGATGTTGGCGTTTGTTTCGATTTATTTTTGATTGGACACCGTTTTGTCCTATTGCATGTGGGATGCTTTGGGCCTTTGTTTCGTTCTTGGGCGCATCGCCTGAAGGCAAATGCAAATGCTCATTGTTGTTGTTGTTCCCATTTTTGATGTGGGGGTTGATCAAAAGGTCCCATATACAGTCATATACATGAAGTGACCATTACAAAGACCAACAAAAAGATGACCTTCACCAGTAATGGTCACCACCATGTTTTGAGGAGAAAGTTTGCCCCCCCCCCCCCCCATGTTTTTTGGGGCGGGCGGGTGGCACAGAAACGAACAAATGGGACTTGACTTGGAGCCTTGGAAAGGGTTTCTACTTCCAGCAAAACACCACTGGCGTCTCCATGAAAAAAGGGACCAAAACACAAGGGTAGACAGTTGGTTATGTTGCGTTTCTTTCCTTGAGGCGCCCATTTGCGCCATCTATCTAGACAGGTGTGAAAAATGTTGGCGAACCCTCGGGCGCAAGTGAGTGCTAACTTGCTCATATGGATAGCGTTTTTTTTTTTTTCCCCAGAAGGAAACCAATCAAGTACAGGTATCCCTATTTGACACCCAGCTCAACTTTGACCATACGCGCCTGTTTTTTTTTTTTTAGATTTCGTGTATGGAGGATGGCTGGATTGCAGAGGAGGCCAATCTGGAGAAAGTTCGCAACTGGGGTTTTGGCGACCCATGTGAGTTGTGATGGCTTCCCTCTCCGATGGCAATTTCATGTTGCACCAGGGCGATCCTAGCTGATTGCAAGGGAGCCAAGGAGCTGGGGGTGTCCCAATTTGGTTTTAAGGAGGGAGCTAAGGAGCTACCGGGAGTTCTGCAAGGACATGGTAGGATCCCATTCTTTTCTTTTTTGGGGTGGTGGGGGGTTCCGATGCTGTGCTTCCGAGAGACTGGAAGCCCCATTTTCCGGAGTGTTGATGGACGCCTTTGGGAGCGGACGCAGTGTCCAACAGACACACCGGTTGCCGGCCGCGTGTCCCTCACCATGTTCAGTTCCTTTAGCAGGGGTCTCTATATTTCCCCTTTTGGTGGGTTTTAAACATCACCAGGGGAAATCTAGGGAGCCCTGTTTAGGACCTCAGGAAAAGAAAAGACTCGTCCGAGGCAATACTGTCGAGTTCAAGGTGGATGGGCAGACATTGAACGTGGCCAGCGCCCGCGGCGTCAACACCGCGGTGATCAACTTCGATGGATCTTTGCAGTCCTTCCAGGCCGGAGCTCCGGAGGACCGACCGGACCGGAGGAATCGTCAAGGCCGCAGTCTGATTTTGCGTGGCTGTTGGTTTGATTTTGTTTGATTTTTTGATTGTTTTGTTTGGAGGGGGGGGGGGGGGTTGGGGACAAACCAAAATGACTTTTTGGGTCTCTGTTTTTTGTTTGGGGCTTGGGTGTGGCTCAAACATTCAAAGAGTCAGTGCCAGCGGCAGGTTTTGGTCTTTCCATTTCCCAGGGCGCCCATGTTCTTGAGGCTTAGGGCCATTTGGCGCGTCTGCTGCGTGGGATGGTACAGCGTTTTCTCGGCGGGATCTTTTTGAAGGCGATAAATGCAATCCAATGGCGTTTTCACCCGGATACAAAGATCAATGAATCGATTCCATTGGTGAAACGATGTGCGACTCTGATGTGCGACTCTGCATAAGTTTGTTGAGACCAGTCACTGTTCTTTATTGACTAGTCCATTGTGCAAGGAAGCTTCGCCAGGCCTAAGAACGCGCTCAGCGACAGGGCGCTGAATCCAAAGCCAAAGCGGTGAACTGTAAACAGCTTAGTCGCTCACATCGATTGATCATTTCGGCATTTTAAAGCTTAGCGGCATCATTCGGGCCCCCTATTTGCACAATATCACTGGTTCCGCGAGCAAAGCAAAGAAGGCAATTCCCAACAGATAGATCTCCGGGGATTTGTTGTGTAAGGTCTTCAAACTTTTGGCAGATCACTTTTGAGGTCAATCGTTGTGTGTGGCTTTGCCTTACTCCCTGATTTTCCTGGACTTAAAACTTTTGAGAAGACCATTTTAGTGGTAATTCAACAGTTTGGACTTGCTTTGGCCAATCCACTCAGGAAGTGAGTTGACCTATCCATAGAAGGAGAATATGGGTGTGGGTCAAAATTAAGCCACCAGAGAACCGCAGGTTTTAGTCTTTGGTTCCATTTACCAGGGTTCCATTTTGGGTACCTATTTTTGACCCACAGCCATATCTGCAGTATCTTTGCCCGGCTCTGGGCATTGGCCTATCAAAGGCCCGTCTTGCGTGCGAGTCCCTTCCGCCATTACCTTTTGAGGGTTTCCTGAAAAACCCAAATGAGCCACAATCAAAACCCGGGTAGATGGAGTTTAGTAAGGGCCAACCCCAGCCATAAATAGCTGCGGATATCCGCCTTCTTAATTCTCGACATGGTTCTGGGTTCACCATTTCAATACCGGGTTTTGATTGTGGCTCAAATGGGCGTCCCAGGCTGTTCCTTTTTTGATTTCCTGGTTAGGTGTTGTCTCATGCCAACCTGGTCTTGTTTCCGGGTATGATGTCAACCCCTGACCAAAAAAAGGAGCTATGTATTAACATGGTGTTTCCACATCTTCCCTCAGATTGTGGGTATCCACTGAAATCGTATATGTTCGAAGCAGCCACTGGAACCCCATCTGTCAGGTACCCACTGATTGGTGGTTTGGATTGCTTTGGGGATTTGAACCGGCTTTTGCAAGGGCGAACATGGGAAACCACCCCGGGACAATACCACACCACCGGGCTCCAATCCACCAATTTTGACGGAAGAATCTGGTTCTGTCGGCAGGTCTTTGACACCCACGCAGCCGGGTCAGAGGCTCTCGTGACCTTTGTGGACGGCCTCAGCGCTGGGACCATTGTCCTCATGGCGCCTCATCTCAGCCTCGGCGATGATCTCTCTCTCTCTCTCTCTACACTTGCTGGTGCGAAATCGGTGGAATGAGGGAATGAACCTGATGCCCTTGAAAGAAACAATAGGATGGATGATTTATAGGGGTCATTCCCTCATTCCCTGCTGAGCACCATCAAGCTAAATGGATATGAAATTTAATTGGGGACCATTTGGTGCACATCATTGGGATTTGGGTATGGCTCAAAATTAAAGAGCTGGGGTTACGCGGGTTTTTGTCCTTGGTTTCATTTACCAAGGTGCCATTGTGGTGCCTTTTTTTTGAGCCACAGCCATTTATGTCCACCAACCGCTTGTCAGTGGTTCCCCAGGAACATTCCCAATGAAGATCCATAGCCAACTAGCCCAGTTGCCACAGTTTTATTGGGGCTTTGAAACCAACTATCTTGATTCGATTGAAACCCCACGAAGGGTCTAATCCCTCTATGCAGAGACACACCCACAATTGAATCGGTCAATTCGGTGTGTCATGTCTCATGAGTTGAACATGTTCCAGGAAAGTATATGCCTGGACCTTCCATTGTTACATAAATTTGTGTCACGAAAGAAACATGCTCAGGGCAACTATTTTCGCCCAATGATCCAACAAGTGCTCATTCCGCAAAAACACGCTCGCTTCATGAACACGGGTTTCCTTCAAAATACTAATTGTTACATGTTTTGGATTTGCGCTCGCTTTGCGGGTTTTTGCGCTCGTTTTGCGGGTATTTGCGCCCGTTTTGCGGGTATGTTTCCACATGTGTCCACGCAACAGACTATATGAGAAGAGAGAAGCCGCCGCAATAGCGAAAAATGCTCGAATCCAAATTTGTGCCCGTTCCCCTGAAGAATCGCCCGACTAGCAAATTTATGCTACGAAACACTCAAGGGACGCAAATTTATGTAACGAATGAAGGTTCAGGTGTGTTTTGCTTTGCTGTGCTTTGCCTTTATGGGGAATACTAGGTGAATGGCATAGAGGAACCAGCAACCTCTTCGTTCTTGAGCTGGGATGGATATTGCAAACACTTGCTTTTCTTGAGGTTTGACAGCGCTTTCATTCAATGAGCGACTCAAGGGCCGAACGCGGGCGGCTCGAACGCGTCGATCTTCTTCGGCTCAGGGCGTGCGGGACGAGGCCAAGGGCAACATGAGCACAGCAGCCAAGGCAAGTTGGCCGAGCCGATGGTCGGCCGTTGTACCCTCCCACCCTTGTCACATGGACCCGTTCGACGTTCTTCTCACCCAGCCAGTGGGGGCACTTTACACTTGTTTCCTTGGTGGCTGTCCCTTTTATTTGAGTGGTGGCCCAAAAAGTCTGCACTTTTTTTGGGCTGGTCACTGGCCGCGTGAGTGTGTTGGGGGTCCTGGTTTGGACCATTTTCCTTAAGGGACCTGGGTCCCGCACGTCAGGTTCCAGGTGAAAAGGGTGGGAGGGTACAGGTTTTTTCTTGAGGACACCGATCGATGCTGGCCCTTTTACCTGCCAGACCCTTCTTTGTGAGAGAAAACTGATGGGAGTTTTCGTGGCGAGATACAACAATTGCAACACTCACGGGCGAGTTCTCTGCCCCCTCCATTGCCTGATGGGCGCGGTTTTGAGCATGTCTGGAATAGCGATGGGGGGGCTGGGGCCATGAAGATATTCAAAAAAAAAAAAGCAAAGTCAAAGGGAGCCATATATCCCTAGACAAAGAGAGAGCGACCCACTTTGGCATCATAATTTGTCAACTTCCTCTGCTTTTCAGGGCACCAGTTTGGGTGTGTCTTTTCTTGAGGGTACCACTTTTGGAGTGGTTTAAAGGGGAACCAACAGGGGCTGTTTTCTTTTTTGTTTTAAACTTTTTTTTGACCTGGATAAGGGTCTGCAGGGAAAAAAACCTTGACCCTCAACCAGGTCGAAAAAAGACCTTACACAGGGCAAACAAAAGTACTATTCCCATCCAAACCGAGCAAACCTACCCGTAAAAAGAAAAAAACAGCGAACAAATCAGGACGCCATCGAGACCTTGGGGGCCGACCTCATCGACACCTTGGTCTACCGAGCCTCCTATGCCTTGGTGGGCGTCAAAGGCGCGAAACGAGGGGGGGCCGACACGACACTTGAGTCCAAAGTCAGATATATGTGTGTGTGTGTGAAAAATAAGGTTTTGACAATAGGAATAACGATACTGGCAATGATAATGTGGTTTCAACTGTGTTTGTGTGTCAAAGTAGGGTATTTTGATGTTCCAGTTGGTTTCCCGTTCAAGCCAACCTGAAAAGGATTCTCTGAAGAAAACACACCGAAACGTTTGGTGTCTTTGAATCTCACAGCTTCTTGTCTCGCTGGTTCTCAGCAGGGAATGAGGGACTAACCCTATAAACCATCCCTGGTGGTTTCCTTTATATAAGGGAATCCCTAAGGTTCATTCCCACCACGCCAAAATTACTCCCTCCTGAGCACCAGCTCAGGCAAATTTGGAGACCCCCAGTTGGAGTCTTGGTTTCGTCATTCCCTTTTGTAAATAGGGACACCGCCATATTGCAATGCTCAAACGCCCCGTTATTTGGGCGTAACAAGGATGGTCATCCACCGTCCTGGTAAGGATCCTTCACAGCCATCATGATGAGTCCTATGAAGGGAGCCTTCTTTCCCAATCGGCCGTGTAAGCCGCTTTGGCTATGGCTCATATGGGGGTTGATCAGTATTCCCGGTCCCCAAATGACCATGGGCAACTAGTCCCATTTAGTGGCGAAATATCATATTTTAGTGGTTTTCCCCAATGCTCATCCCAGGGATATCGGACCCCAGTGTCTTCAAATCGGGGTTTCCCGTTTTAAGGCTGGTTTCCTGTGGGTTTCCCAAAGGTACATGGGTTGATGCCCCATTCTTTTCAACCCTCCTCCTTTTCAACAGCCAGATCCGTTTTCCCTTGGCTTCCGGAGCTACCAAACCCTGCGCATGTCGGCAGTGGCTGCTATCAGGCCCTGGATGAGAGGAAAGAGACACTTGTGATAGAAATAATCCGTTGGAGGGGCAACCATGATGTAAAACTAGGTTTAAAAAAAGAAAAAAAGTAAAAACAACATGTACTGGAAGGCCTGGGCTGACTTTTCCGGAGGTTTTTTCTATCAAGGACTTTTGTTTCCCCGGGTACCGCCGCTTGGCCGGGCCGCTCCTCAGGCGGCCACGCCCTAGCGGAGCAGACCTTTGCGGACGGGGACGCGGACAGCGTGGCGATGGGGACCTGGAGCAACATGGAGACGGTGAACGTCACGGTGACCAGCACCTCCAGGCGCCACAAACTGACCAAAAGGGCTTGGGGCGGGGTCGGATGGGGCGAGGCGCCTGGGGGCCTGGGGGGGGTTGGGTGGGGGCATTTTTGTTGAGTCCCTGGGGTTGGGTGGTCCTTGGGTAGGGGGTCGGGTGGGGTCGGTCACTTTGTTTGGTTGAGTTACCCAATTTTGTGGGTGCAAGTTTTGGCGATGTGCCGTTTTTTGTTGGTGGTTTTATGGGTATGGTTCCTTTTTGTTGAGGCGAAAGGTATCCTTGTCTGGTTTGTTTTGAAGGGAATCCAACAGGAAGCCGATGAAATCCCATTACATTTGCAGATCCAACCTTAAAACGGCACACCCAGTCTGCCAGCTCGCCCGGGCGTTCGACATGTAGGTCGTTGACCTGCTACCCCTATGTTCAGGTTGAAGCCTTGCGTAACAACTAGTATGGCTCGTCTTTTTTTGGGGGGGGCACCAGTTGCTGGGTTTTTTGCAGGGCAACCAAAAGGTCTGAGGGTTTTGCTAGAAAAAGACAAGCCACCCAGAAAAAGAGCTTCGCAACCTGATATCCATTTTGGATAGGCTTCCCCATTCTCTTGGCTGATAGACGAAAGAACCAGACCAGACCCTCACCGTTTTTGGAAGGGGAACGAAGAGGTTTACGCTGTTTGTCTGTTTGTTTGTTTGTTTGTTTTTGTTTTGCTGGGGGGGGAAGCCTATCATGGTTGGACTCCCCTTTAAAACACACACCCAAAAACGGGGTACCTCCAAAGACAAGTCGATCGAGCCATCGATCGCTTGCAAGATGGCAGAAGCCTTCCGATCGTTAAGATTTCCCACGGGATCATAGGTGTCCTTTTTGGATAGAAGTAGATGGGTTCCACTGGTTTAGGTGGGTTTTATTACTTATTTACCGGGCTTCACCCATCTACCAGGGTTTCACCCATCTATTTCACCAAAAGGACACCCATGCATGGGATCTTTTCCAGAAAGCCAAACGCCTTGGTGGTTCAACCTGCCACCCGGTCCCTTCAGCTCTTTCAGTGTGTTTTTTTTAGTTGGGTGAGTGGTAGTTTCCACTAAGACGCTTAAGTTTTTGTTTGCCGACTTTTTAGCAGATCGAAGGGAACAGCCCAGGAGGCTCGGGGGAAACGACGGGGAACCATGGGTTGAGAGTTGTTCGTAGATGTGAACGGTTTTCCCTCGCAACAAGTCTCCATGTTTTGCACGTCCAGGACCCAGAATCAACTAGACCCTAGCCTCCTTCAAAGCAAAGCCGAAAGGTGGTTTTCACATGTATCACAGGGTTGGCCCAACCCTCAGTAGTGTTCTCCAACTGAAGAATAAGTGGAGAGGCATGCGTCCTGAAAGTGACGAAGTCACACAAGCTAATCGTGACTCATACGCAGCGGGCAAAGCGGTTTCAAATAGTCTTTGTATTTTCATTCCTTAGACACATAGGGATTATTGAGCGGTCTCACATTTCCGGCATTAATGTTGCTGTATATAAGGCTAAGAGGAGAGATGCCTAATTGCTAAATATCAGTTTAGCCTCCTTGAGAATGCTTTTCGGGAAAACCATTTTAATTGGTAACAAACAAAAAAACTTGGATTTCTTTTTGGCCAACCCACTCGATTGGAAGTGAGGGGGGTAATACGTTGGTCTCCCCATACATCAGCTGTCCGTTTGCCCCAAGCGGGGGCTCCGAACATGGGGCCGCAAACACAGAAGTTGAAGGAAGTAACACGCACCACACAAATTATGAGCACACACACAAACAACAATGAGACATTCCATCCCCCATCCATTTCTGCTGAAATGCACATTCTTGATTGTTTTCTGGTTTTCAAAGGATTCGATTCCACGACTGGACATAGGAACTCTCTTTTCCGGACGGAAAATTGCGCAACTGGAGGATTCACTGTTGGGCTCTTCCCGTTTTCATCCCAGGAGTGCAGGCAACGCGGTTTCCTTCGCGGTGGACGGGCACAACTTGGTGGTGCAGACCGCGCGCGGGATGAACGTGGTGGTCATTGGGCCTGGGGGCATTATGGACTCTTGGCCTTCTTCCTCAGAAGTAGTAGTTCCCCGCTTTTTTCTTTTTGTTGGGGGGGGCCTATGTTTTCCACCAACCAGGCAAAACAGATAGTTGTTTTTTGCTGGGGTCCGAATTCCAGCCAAGTCTGAAGGTATCCCACTTGCCCAAAGCGAATCGACCTTTGGATCTTTTGTGGTTTTCCCTTGTTGGGAACCATGTTTACTACAGGTGCCAAATCGTGATCACCTTTTATTGCTGGGCTCTTTGGTTGCTCTTATAGGCAAGACCCTGAACCTACAGGGTGAAAATAGATGGCACATTTCCCTTGTGGGTAATTAAAGGGGATGACTTCCACCCAACCGTAAATTTGTGGAATAGGACTGGTTCCCTGTTTTGTGTTTTCATTTTTCAAGGTTCTACCAAGCTGTCTCGCAAGCTGTTTTCCTTTCGGTGAAAAGGACTTTGGAAAAAAAATGACAAGGTATAGCCTCCACCGACTATCATTGAACCTCATGCAATCCTGTTTTGGATAGTTTTGCGAACGGGAGGGTCATATAAGGGGGTTGATACTAACAATTCCTTGTCCCATGGTCATGACTCTGGTTTTCATACTACCCCAACTTGAGGAGCAGCTTACCCACGATGCATTGCCCCGCCAACAAAAAACGTGGTATCCGACTCACCCGCCAAGGCATCAAACAACAGAAACATGTTTGGGTGTCTTTGGACCAAGGAATCCTTTAACAACTTCGACACCCACGCTGCGGGTAGCGAGGCGCTGGTGGCCTTTATTGCATCTCGGAGAAGATGTGTGTTGTTTTTTCTTCCGCGGAGCGCGGGTCTCTAAACGCCCAGCGCAGTGGAGGTGTTTCTCTCACTCCCCGAGTTCACGAACTGGGCATTTTTTGGGTTTGGGCCGTTTCAGTGGTAACTCACTTCCTGAGTTGATGGACTTTAAGCTTTTTGGAAAGACCATTTAGTGGTAAATAAAAAGTTCAAACTTTTTTTGGCCAGTCAACTTGGAAGTGAGTTAAGCAAAAGGTTGTTTGACTTTTGGCCGGTCCACTCCGGAACCTCCTGGTTGCTGTCGAAAGGAAGCCAGAAGGAAACAAGCCATTTTGTGGGTTCCCTTACTGGATGTAGAAGACACACCCAGTTGGGGGTTCTCAAAATTGGGGTGCGACTTTTCTTGGCGAGTTTCAAATGGACGCCAAAAAGGAACCAACTGCCTGGAGGGGTCCCTAATCTTGGGAAAAGCCAAGACGGTTTGTCTCCTTTTGGCTTCCCTTTGAATGACAGCGAAAAGAGGGTCCACCTCTGTGAGAAACTGATTGTTGTTCCAGTTGCTTGGTGGGTTCGGGCCCTCTCAAAATGGCCCAAAGAAGGCCCCTAGTTCTTTTTACGGAACGTGAACAGCTGGAAAATAATTGAAACGGCCGATTCGTCGCCCGAGGAAGCGATAAAGGGATGGGAGATTTTTTTCCGAAGTTCTGACATATCCTCGGACTAGTGAGCGCTGGTGGCTTAGGTGGTGCAACAAAACGGGCTCCTTTTGCCCTCAACCTGAACCGCCGCAACCTGACTTCCAAACCTTGGGAGCAAGGACCTCGAGTTTCTGTTCCGACGTTCCTTGGGGGGGCCTGGTTTGGACCATTCTCCTTAAGGGGCCGGGTCCCGCACCGGGTCCCGCACCGGGCCCCGAAGCTACCCCTCGAGTTTTTTTTCTTCGTTCAGGAAGGCTTGCCCACGGGCACCTTGGTGGGCTGCGCGGCCCGGGACGACGCCCGGGGCAACCTCAGCGCCGCGGCCAAGGATGCGATCAAGACCTGCGGCGCCACCCAGAGCCTTGGGATCCATTTGCTTCAGCAAAAATATGGCTGTGGCTAAAAAAAAAAGGTACCAAAATGGCGCCTTGGCCACTGGAACCAAAGACTAAAAGCTGCGTAACCCCATTGCTGAAATGAACGTGTTTTTTTTGTTTCTCCTTGGGATTCGAGCTCAGAGAGCTGAGAGAGAGAGAGAGAGGCGGTATCGCTCTTTGAAGCGAGAAGCGACCGTTTGGATCAGATCTGAGCTTTGGAGGGGAACACCCTCATAGTAAACACGGGTTGATTCATATGGGCAGCCCCCGGTTTTTGAAGGGAATCGACGCTTTTTGGATCAGATCTGAGCTGTTGGGTTTTCCAATCGCCTTTGGAATGTGTTGTTCGTCATCACCAGCGAATGGTAATTTGCGAATCGACCTTTTCATCAGATCTGATCTTTTGGTTTTCCAATTTTACCTCAGAGTCTTATTCCCTGAGTTGCTGGACCTGTTTTTTTGTTTTGTCAAGACCATGTTAGCGGTAAATAATAATACTAAATCCTGTTTTGGCAACTCCACTTAGGAAGTCAGGACCAGTTTTGGAGGGGAACACCCTCATGGTACTAAACAAGGGTTGGTTAATATGGGTTGCCCTCGTTTTTGCGAATCGACCTTTTCATCAGGTCTGATCTTTTGGTTTTCCAATTTTACCTCAGAGTCTTTTTCTCTGAGTTGCTGGACTTGTTTTTTTGTCAAGACCATGTTAGTGGGAAATAATTATGATAATGATGATAATAATAATAGTAATAATAATAAGAAGAAGAATAATACTAATAATAATAATAGTAATAATAATAATAATAAAACAAGGCTGGTGGAACGCCTCGCCGCCGTGGAAGGCAAGCGAAACCACATTACAAGAACATCAACTGACATCGCCCGTCCCCCACGCCTGCCACGTTCTCTCTCGCAGCCAATGATTCAGCAAAATGCATTTTATATGGGTTTTCGCAGGGCAGATTCCCAAAAAGAAGTATTTCGCTTAGGCGAAACAAACGTTTAGCATCCCCTCCTCAAACGTCGAAAAGTTTTCGGACCTGTTTGCGCGCAGATATGACATGATACGCTTGAGCGGGTGTGCCTATCATGTGCCAGCATGTGCGCACTTATGACACGATGCGCGTGAGCGGGTGTGCTTATAATGTGCCAGCATGTGTGCACTTACAACATGATACGCTGGAGCGGGCGTGCTTCACATTTGGCCAGCATGCGTGCAGATATAACATGACGCGCTTGAGCCGGTGTGCTTACCATGTGCCAGCATGTGTGCACTTCTGACATGATGAGCGGGTGTGCTTATCATGTGCCAGCATGTGTGCACTTATGACGCGATGCGCGTGAGCGAGTGTGCTTATAATGCGCCAGCATGTGTGCACTTACAACATGATACGCTGGAGCGGGTGTGCTTAACATTTGGCCAGCATGCGCGCAGATATAACATGACGCGCTTGAGCCGGTGTGCTTATCATGTGTCAGCATGTGTGCACTTCTGACATGATGAGCGGGTGTGCTTATCATGTGCCAGCATGTGTGCACTTATGACGCGATGCGCGTGAGCGGGTGTGCTTAACATTTGGCCAGCATGCGCGCAGATATAACATGATGCCGGGTGTGCATATCATGTGCCAGCATGTGTGCACTTCTGACATGATGAGCGGGTGTGCTTATCATGTGCCAGCATGTGTGCACTTATAACGCGATGCGCGTGAGCGGGTGTGCTTATCATGTGCCAGCACGTGTGCACTTATGACACGATGCGCGTGAGCGGATGTGCTTATCATGTGCCAGCATGTGCGCACTTATGACACGATGCGCGTGAGCGGCTGTGCTTATCATCTGCCACATGTGTGCACTTATGACACGATGCGCATGAGCGGCTGCGCTTATCATCTGCCAGCATGTGTGCACTTATGACACCATGCGCGTGAGCAGGTGTGCTTAACATTTGGCCAGCATGCGCGCAGATATGACGTGATACGCATGAGCGGGCGTGCCAAAAGTGAAGACAGTTGCACGGCGGCGAGGAGTCCCACCCTGCACAAAACCATTTTTTTGCCAATACACTCAGGAAGTGAGTAGTACAAGGTCCCAAAGGTCCCTATATTTCCAGGTCTTTGACACGCAGTGAGAGAGGGGGACAGGGCTCCGAACAAAAAGTGCACAGGGTGGTTTCCCAAAAGGACTGATGTCTTCCAAAACCCCTCAAATGGATGGTTTCTCTTTCATTCCAGTTCACAGAAGGTAGGCACTCCAAACAATTGGGTGTTTTTGTTGTTTGGGGGGGGCACAGCCCGCTTTTGTTTGTTCAAAAGGGAAAAAGCCCGGCACTCATTCGGGGCCGATTCCCGAAAGAAGAGTGAGCCACCCAAGCCGCGATGAGGATCGACTCCCTGGTTTACCGGGGCGCCTACGCCTTGGTGGGGATCAAGAATGGCCCTGCCCTGGCAGAGCAGACCTTCCCCGATGGCGAGGCGGGCGGTTTCCTTCCGTGGCTGTGGCACAGGTTCTTCACCCGCTGACAAAGTGCAGGTGTTTGCTTTTGAGGTGGTACACTTGTTTTGAGTGGATTTAAAGGACACCTAACGGAAACCCACCTTTTGGGGGGGTCCCCTCGCAGAAAACAACACACGAGTAGCTTTGAGCCATGCTCCAAAATGCGGCAAACGCGGCGGGCGAATGAACTGTTGGCAGTCGGAGCACGGGTGGATGCAGAAAGAGATGCTAGAATAGGAGACCAAAATGGGTGGTTGTCCGTTTGGCTTCCTTCAAAACTACACCCAGAAATGATCCCTGAACGCAACCCCATATGTTTCAATTCTCCAAGTGGGAACGGAGCAAGGGAGATGGACTAGCGCATGTTCACGGGTTTTATCCCTCAGTCGTTCTTGCCAAGTATCAGTTCCCCCAACACATCGAGAAATGTGGTCGCCTCACCCCCCGTTTAGCTTCTGGGCACTTCTGGGTGCACAACACAGCGAAAAGGAAACATCTCAACCCACCACTTGTGGCAGTGCGAGAGCAGCGGCCGTCCCTTTCTTATTTTTGCAGCCGGGGATGTGTCAAGTGCTGGTAACCCTCCGGCTGCATGTCTGCATGTGCGATTGTCTTGCTTCTCAGGGAATGATGGCCTCACCAACCATTCCCAAGGGGCTATTCCGAAATTCCCTCTACAGAATTCAAGCCCTGGGTTTTTGCAATTTGGTCTGAAGAAAGATCGCTGCAGCCAGACTGGGGAACATTCTGACATCAGCTGATAGGGTATACCACCTCAAGAAAGAGGGATTAGAAAGAATGGGGAAGGTACCCCTAGCTACTTTTAAGACCGGCCCTGTTCGAGCCCAATGTCAGGTGGCTGTAGCCTCAGCCCTCTACAGCCTCGAAAAAGTCTCAAGCTTCACTACCGAAGCCCCCACTACCACGACGCCGACCACGACTCCGACGACCACCACTGAGGCGCAACAATTCAAACAGGGTGGCCTAAAGGATCTGGTTTGGCTATGTTGAAGGTGTTGAGGGTTGGCTATGTTGAATATGACTAGGTCCCCCAGTAGTGCCCTTTTACCCCTTTTTAGTTGGGATGGTTCCCCTAGTAAAATAGGCGTCCGGTAAAAAGTCGGTGTCCGTATTCTATCCTCTCTACTGGCGGACCTAGATGATCACACTGGTCATTTGATTTACAGGATCCCCTTGCGAAACCATGTGATTCTAGGGGAAATTCTTTGCGGGACCCTCGGCATAGAAAGCGAACGCATGATGGTTCCTATCTTTGGGTTGTTGAAGGACAATGGGAAAAATCCTCCAGACATTATCGCACTTCCGGAGTTCATCTTCTATACTTTTCGAGTTGGACAGTTTGAGTGCCAAACTGACAAGGGCTCGTTTTGGCGGGTTCCAATAAAACTTTGAAGCGCAGTTGAGAGTTTTCTAGGACCCCTTGATACCTCTTCAATGCTCGTCTTTTTGGTTGTCCGTTTGGTTTCTAGCAGCGATTGGTCAACAGTTCGACAACTGTAAGGGCACCGCAAAAAGCGGTGGAAAAACTGGCCCTGCGGGCCTTTTTTTGGGGAGGGTTCCCTTACTTTAAGAGACTACAGAAAAAGAAACGGTACCCTTATTGATACCTCTCTACTGGACCTAGTTTATACTTGAGGTTTGATTCCAAAATGTTCTGTAGTCGATTGGTCCATTTGGGAGGGAGATGGGGGAACTCACTACACTTCCACAAAGCAGATGACTCACTCATGTCCCATGTCACATGTTCTGCTGGAGGAACAACTAGTTTGAAGTGTGCCTTATATGTGCTTTTATCTTAGTCACTGCCCTGGCTCCCTCTCTTGCGGACAGAGTTGAGATCTGAGGGCATTTGTCTCTCTCTATCTCTCTCTCCCTCCCTCTCTCTCTCTCTCTCTCTCTCTCTCTCTCTCTCTCTCTTCTTCTTTTGAAGGCATCATCTCTCGGATCCATGGTTGGTAAAGGGGCACTAGATAGCTGTCCCAGCCATAGGTTCCTTGTAAGTCAGCTTGGCTGAACATCATTCACCACCTAACACTGCCAGCAATTTATCAGCAGGTGGGAAATGAAAAACGACAGACATACACGAAACGTGAGCAAACACATAAGACACACAACACACATGCCATAAGAACGCGTGGCCCGAAAGCAAACAGTGTATGGCGAGCGCGTATATGATGTCTAGATGCGTTCTTGTTTTGTGCACGAAATGTTCACGCACGTCGCGCTAAGGCCCAAGGCATCTCTGTGTTAATGTGTAGAGAGTAAACGCGCCAACCACGACACAACTTCGAAAGACCAGCTTGCGACCATAAACATTTTTTCACATCGACTCCGATCCCTGCAAACGGCGCGCGCAAGGCAAAAGTAAACAGTTATTGCACGTTGACCACGCCGATTCGCGCAGAGGGTCGCGCGGGCATGTTGAACAGTGGCAATTAAAAGCGCACAGCTTTTGCGCATCGGCCACGGCGATCCCCGCAGAGAGTGTCATTTTGGGGTTGGTCCTACCGCGCGTCAAAGAGGAAGCTTAATTTCGGGTCCGCCCTGCAAGATGTCTTGAGCGAGCTTTGCTTTCCACGCTTTCGCACGCAAGCTTTGCTGTGCAAGTTCGCTCAGTCAGGCTTTCTTGCAATTGGCTGACTGTGTGGGTTCTCGCGGGTTCTCTCCAAGTTGCGCGAGTCGTGCAATTTTCTGCGCGAGTTTTCGCGAGTTCTCTCGTGCAGTTTTCTCCGCATGTTCTCTCATGCAGCTCGCTCTGATGCGTGTGTTCTCGTCAACCTTGTTGCCCACATTGCCCTCGTGCTAGTGCCCTCGTGCTTTGGCTCTGCGCGCTCTCGCATGCTTCTTGCTCTGCATGTGCTCTCATGCGTCTTGCTCTGCGTGCGCTCTTGCTCTTCTTGCTCTGATGTGCCCTTGTGCTTCTTGCTTTGCAAGTGCTCTCTTGCTACGTACTCGCTCCACGTGCTGTTTGCAATATCTGTGCGGCAATTTGCTGTGCGATACGGCTGCGGTTTAACGGAAGAACCCTTTGCGATGCTTTTGGGAAAACACACATCAATCGCACACACACACACACATCACAGAAATCGCGAGTTCAAATACCGGGAAAAAAAGAAGAAGAACGTCTAAGCTGAACATGTCCGGAGTTCTTTTTGTCGCAACAAGAATCTTCTGAGGCGTTTGGGAAATTCACAGCTCTCGCGAATCCAGATACACCGAAAGAGCGAGGCGGCGCCCTTGTGCTCCATGCTCACCTGCTCCGCCGGCACCGTGCTGAAGCGAGCGGAGATGCTCAGCGTGCAGAGCAGCGACGAGGCGGTGTGCTGCACGACTGCCGAAAAGGACAGAGCCGCCCACACGGCAGAAAAACAGCGAACCATGCCTAGGTCCCACCATGTCTATAGGATCTGGTTTGGCTCTGTTGAAGATGTTGAGGGTTGGCGATGATGAGTGTGACTAGGTCCCCCAGCTAGGTGCCAACTTTTACACCCAACTTTTTTGGCTGGGAGGGTTCTCCTACTAAAGTAGACTACATAAAAACATATCGGGCACACTTATTCTAAGCTCTCTACTGGAGGACCTTGTGATGCAAGGAGCTGAATGATTGCCAACATGTTTTTTTCCATGGTCATGACTTAGTTCAGCTTCATGGCACCCCCCAAATTCCCATTCTCATCAGTTCGCCCCCGAACTTTGACGAGTTGTTGCAGGTTGCCACTTTCGGGTGGCTCAGGGAATTCCCTTTGACGGTTTTCATCTTTTTAGCCCCCAAAAAATAGACCCATGGTTTTTGGTTGCCACTTTGTGGCAAAGGGAATCCCTTAAGAGAAGTGGAGAGCAGGTGCTTTGGGTGAGTTTCAGGACATGGCCGACGTGGGCGTGCGCAGCGCCGGCTTTGCGGATGGGAACGAGGACGGGGGGCGGAGCTTTTTGTTTTTTTGCCCTAAGCATGCTTGTTGTTGGGACACATGTTTCCAAATTTTCTCATTTTTGAGCTTGTTGTGGTTTAGTGGTTGAAATCCAAATCCACTTCACTGCTAACAATTTGAGGATTTTTGCTCCCCTAATCCCAACGTCAACGGTTGCGAAGTCATCGAAGCTCGAGACGGCGTATGGATGTCTCGGTGCAAGCGGCTGTATCCGGCTCCCCAGGGCTCCTCAGGGCTCCTTCGTTTTTTCTTTTTGAGGGGTAACTTCCAATTCCATTCTCTCCAGGTTGTGGTTGTCGCTCGGGGTTTTTCCAACCACTGTGATACAAGTTGGAACCAACCCCTAAATTTTGGGGGGTTAGCCTTTGGGAAGCCATTTCCCACAGCCCTGCTCTCCAGGGATCCGGATCTTTCCAGAAAACCACCTTAAAAGCCCTGGGGAAATGGATCTGGTTTTGAAAAGAACGATGGCTGAAAAGAATGGAACAAGAATCAACCCTAGATTTTTGGGTTGAGTTGAATGGATTTGTGGAGGTTCAACTTTTTAGTTGGTGGTTCAACTTCCCTAGGGTTTTAGCGTTTTGGGGTTGAGTGTTTTGTTGTTTTTCTTCTTTGCCTTTTTGGCACCCGGGGAGCTCGGACAACTGAGCTTGGACAGATATTTATTGTTTATCCTCGCAAGCCCTGGCTTGCGGTTCGAGGATTGTCCAGCTGCCAACCACTCGTATTCTTCAAGCCCAGTTGGATGCCATGAACATGCGTTCTTTTGGGATCTATCGTTAGATGCATCAATCACACCAGCCATTTGCTGGGTGGAGCTTGCCTAGAACTCGAGGCAGCAACGTCATGCTTGGGTGCTTGTTGATGTTGCCGATGATCTTTGGGGAGGGGGGAAGCTCCGCTAGTTTCTGTCTTTCTCCGACTCCACAAAAGGCGGTCGTGCTATTCTAGGTCCCCCAGTAGTGCCCTTTTACCAACTTTTTTTGGGGAGGGTTCCCTTACTAAAAGAGACCACAGAAAAAAGAAACGGTACCCTTATTCTAACCTCTCTACTGGACCTAGTCTATACTTGAGGTTTGATTCCAAAATGTCCAGTAGTCGATTGGTCCATTTGGGAGGCAGATGGGGGAACTCACTACACTTCAAAGCAGATGACTCACGCATGTCCCATGTCACATGTCTTGGTTTCCCGTTGAAACCACCAGAAATGAGTGCCTGGCCCTGGCCATCAGGTGGTGTTCTTCGCCAACGGCGTGGAGTTCTACCACGGGCCCTCGCGAGGCCTCACCGTGGTCCTTGTGCGGCCCGACGGCACGCGGAAAGACTCCGCCACCTTTGACACCATGAAGGACTGGATGGGCGATGTGTTTTTCGGGGAGGGTACTCCTTTTCTGTGGTGCATTTTGCCAAGGGATGTTAGGCCTTCAACTGTTTGCCAACTCAGACATTTTCCATTGAACCACGGAAAGTCATTCACTTTTAGCAGGGCTTCGCAGATTTCGCAACCGAGTGGCGGGATGGTTTGAAAAGGGGCCCGCTACATGGCTATATCGTTTTTTGAGTTGGTACCCCTTTTGGTCTGTTTTATAGGGAAACCACCATTTTGTTGTTTTTCTTCTTTGGGGTCACTTAAAAGAAGCACTCCCAAATATGGATATACCCTTTTGGAGTGGTTGTAAAGACAGACCAAAAGGACACTAAACACTTTTTGTGTCGCCTATTTCAAGACATATATATATATATATATGGGTACGTGTCTTTTTATAGGGAGACACCCAACAACATGCGAATATACTTGTGTTTTTCCTTTAAAGCCACCCCCCCCCCCCCCCAAAAAAAAAAGAAGTAAACATATATAGTCATTATGTATGATTCCAAGGGGCTTCTTTCTGGGAGTGAACAAGTCACAGGGTCATTGGGATGGCCAACTTGGCATCACTGAGGGCGGGCTATGTGAAACGATCCTCGCGGTTTAGAGCATTGGGGTAGTTTGGAGTCTGAACCTTCGCTACATGGTACGTGTGTTTGTCACTAGCTACATGTACGTTTGTTTGCGACTAGCCATCATTGCTGCAACAGCTTGGTTGTAGCGCGTGCCGTTGCTCTGGGCTACCTGGTCTGCATTGCTGTCGATGAAGGTGCGCGACCAAACATATGTGCGACAGTTTCCAAAGACAATCCATGCACAGGATGAGCATCCCCAGCTTGGCGGTTCCATGGCGGTTCCTAGCCGCCCCCGTAGGTTTTTAGGTTTTTAGGGTTTAGTGGGGGCTTCCATTTAACCCACAAGTACAACTTCAGCAGGGGACCCGAAACGGACAACATCCCGAAACGGGTCGACTCAACAAAGGGTGCCCCCTTCAAGTTGGGATCAATATCCGCTGAAAACTCTCAGATTGGCTTGCGCCTCTTTTCCGTTTGCGCGAGTTTCAGGTTGTGAAGTAGTCCTGTTGATTCCCCGCCTTGGACGGCTCTGTCTTGCACGGAAAGGGAACATCCACGCGTGAGACGCCCTTCGTGTGAGGACGGCTCGGACGGTCTTGCAGCATACATTGATGCCATCGAAGATGGCACCATGGCACCCCGGCAAATGACCGTCCCACTTGGCCCAAGGAGTCCATGACAAAAACATGTATCTTCAGCGGAGCTCAGCATATCATTGACTTCTTATGCGTAGACGATATATATATATATATATCAGAGAGAGATGCGCCTGCCACATCATACACATGTCACAATGTACACTGCACACACATGTCACAATGTATGTATATGTTATACATAAGTTCATATAAACATATAGTGCATTTGCATCTATGCTCGCATTTTTATCGCGATCCTCGCTCCCAGTTCGCCGAGGTGCTGGTGGGAGCGCGTGACGAGGCCTCCATCAACTTGACGTCGACGGCCAAGACTGCGATCAAGACCTTGGGGGCCACGCAGATCGACAGCCTCAGCTTCCGCGCGGGCTATGCCTTGGTGGGGGTGAAAGGCAGGGGGCACCCTTTCCTGGCAATAGGTTCAAGAGGCGACATCAGTTTTTGGTTTGGAGCCCAAAAGGGCCCTGATTACTTGCGGGGGGGGGGGGGTTCTGTTACTGAAGGGGGGGCACTCTTCGTGGAAATAAGGCTGGTTCGCCTGAACCAAGTTTTCGGGGGGTGGTTCTGATTTTGTTGAAACAGCACCCTGGTTCTTTTAAGCCAAAAGAGGCAGCAAACAGCTTATCTTACAATCTCCTTTAATGGTTACCCCTGATTAGTAACGCCCCCCCCTCCACCTTCAAAGTTGACAAGGCTTGGACAAGTTCCCAAAGCTGAGATTTTGGAGGACCCCCTGATGAATCTGGAGCCCCTTCCATGCTCGTCCCCTTACTTCTGGCCCCAGGGGCAGTAGAACTTTAGGCAACATGGGCATGGGTCAAAATGAGTCACCCCCAGCAGATCTCAGGGCAGATTTCCCGCAGATGGTTCCAACTTGGGGCGACCCGATTTTTGACAGCCGCTGCCACATCGAGCTGTTTTTGTTGGTTTGGAGCCCTCAAGGGCCCCGATGTTTTTTTTTTTTTTTTTTTTTTTTTTTCCGCGGCCGATGAGAGGGGGGAATTTCCGTGAATGAGAGTGAGCTTGAGCTCCTTGTCATCTTACAACTCGAGAAAGAAAGCGGCAGTTTGGGAGAAGCACATGTCTGGGGGAAAGCTGCAGGGGTTCAGTAGTGGCTGAATTAGTATTGGGGGGTTTAAGCACCGACGAAGCAACTTCTACGCGAAAAGGAAAGCCCCATTTCTGGCAGGTTTTGGGGCTTCGGGGCTGCAGGGGGATACCTTCAATCAGGGGGAGTTTAGGAGGCCCGAAAAGTAAACCTTGTTGGCCCTTTAGTTTAGTATTGGTGGGAATCTGGGGATCGAACAGTGATTCCTAGGGAATTTGGGAATTTGGGAATCTAGGTTCATTCCCAAACCGCTTGATTCCTTGAACACCCGCAAGAGGCATCAAGGGCTCCCCCTGTTTCAGGCGGCACCGCTCTGGCGGAAGAGATGAAGAAGACCAACGAAGGCTGGGCTGCAATGGCTCGATCTGTTTGTTTGTGTTTTTTTCGACTCGACTGGAAGAATCGCGATCGAATGGCTCACTCGTCCAAAGCTTTTGCCCATGTTGGGAACCATTTTTGGCCATGGCGCCAAAAGGTGATCACCTTATACTTCCAGTTTTGTTTGGGGAAGCTGAGAATTGGATGTGTGTAGTGAAGCTTTCTGGGATCTGGGTGGAAGACATTGGGTCGAACACAACTAACTAGTTTGGCTAGGTCGGTTTGGGACAGGATGGGTCGAAGACTTCACTGGGTGCGTCGTCTTTCATCTTCCCCAGACTGGTGTTTTGCTTTCTTGTTCAACCGCGAACAAAATGGGGGGGACTGTTTTTTGTTTGTTCTCCTGTAAATCGGGCACCCTCAGAAAAAGACACACACATACAAACACACACACACACACACTGCTGAGCTCAGTGGGAGGCTATGCGGTTGCCGTGGGCGAGATGAAGATTGTGATCTCGGTAGATGCCAACAAGCCGCTTTGCGACCTCACCGCCCCGAAGCCTGAGGTATCGGGCTACGTGTCTCAGGGCAATCTCAACTTGGACGCAGGCTGTCGCTACAACATCTTCGAGAAGCCCCACGCAACGCAGTGCCTTTCAGGTAGTTACTTTGGTGCAAAAATTTGGCCAACGGAGGTTAGGACTGAACAACTGTTTGCCAACTCATGGGCTTTTCCCATTAAACCACTAACAGTTAAACTTTGAGCAGGCGAGCAGAAAGCAACCGAGGTTGGATCATGCTTACAGGATCCTCCAATACATTGCTCGAGCAGCTCGGCGGGGTTGAGCTTTCTGCTTTCCGCTTTCGAGTTTTGGACTTTTGTGTGGTCTGCCAGCCCGCTGTGGAAACCCGGTTTGCATCACGCGCGCCGCACGCATGTCGGGTCTTTGGCAGCGCATGTCTTTCGGATGCAGAGTCCCCCGACCAAGCCAATGTTGACCCCAAAAACATGGACATCAACCCCAGTTTTATTCCTAGGGTTGTGTCCCTGAGTTTAGTGGGGAATCAGACCACTTTTGGAGGGGCCCAAACCCCCTATTCATAAACTGGGGTTGATGTTTTAGGGTCCCTCCAAAGGTGCCAAAAGTGGTCTGATTCCCCACTAAACCCAGAGCTACTTCTCCAGGTGCGTTGATTTGTTTATTTATTTTATTGTTTTTGGTGGGGGGGGGGCAGCCGCTACTTCAAGGTTCATGGTTTTGTTTTCGGGGGTTTGACCGCCGCTACTTCCAGGGTCGGACCGTTTCTTGAGGGTCAGCCGCCAGACATACTCCTCCAGGTTCGTGCTTTTTCTTCTTCTTTTATTTTTTTTGGGGAGGGGCAAGAGCAACTTCCAGCCTCGTCGATTTTTTTTGGCTTTGGGCTCGGTTTTCCGCGAGGTTCGGCAACTTGATCAACTTCCTGGCGCCGGAGGAGTACGAGATTACGCGGGACGGCGAGATGATCGGCGCCTCCGCCGTGGCGGATGTGGTCATCGAGGATGGGAAAGTGGTCCACTGGGCGACGGTGAGCAATCAGCTGCCGGAGTGCCGACAGGCGGGGCATGGGCTTTGAAAGGAAAGCGGCTGTTGCTAGGTTTTTTCTAGGTGCCAACTTTCTCACCGACTGTTTTTGGTTGGGAAGGTTCCCCTACTAAAATGAGTACAGAAAACAGTTGGTACCCTTATTCTAACCTCTCTACTGGAGGACCTAGAGCGACTTGGCCACCGAAATCCCCCGAGCTTTCCATACAGATGTTTTGTTTGGGAGGAGCCGACCAGTTTTGGACCTCGGCTGGGCACTTGCGAAGCTCTCCCGAGTCTCTGGGCTTAGTCGTAGGCCACTCGGGAGGTGAGGCACGCGCAAACTTGCGGAAGACGTCGCATGGGTATGGGTCAAAATTAAAGCACCGCAGGTTCTGGTCCTTGGTTTCATCTACCAGGGTTCCATCTTGGGTAGCACAGCCACATAGCCTGACAGGTCAACAAGGACTTGGCCATGGCCAATCGACCTGCCTGCAAGCAGGCCATCGAAACTCTGCTGGCGCAGGCCTGCAGTTAGCCTTTGGGCGGTGTCCTTTTGGTGTCCCCTTAAATGAAAGGAGATCTCCTCGGAAAAAATGAGCCACGCCAGAATCCAAGATGAAACATGAGCCACCCTAAAAATGTGCCCACAAGGTCATCAAGCACAGGGCACATTGGTTCGGCTTCCTTTTGGCCAACTCACAGCCGCTGCATGTGATACGCCGGGCTTGTTGCTTTGACCACTCCCGAAGCGCAGCTTTCAGAAGCATCCAATCCATCTTTCCTGGGAAGACGGTTGCGAGAGGATGCGCAAGCAGCCAATAGACACGTTTTGTGTGTGCATGCTCGGATGTTTTTCTACGGGAAAGGGATCAGCCACACGACATCCCTTTCTTACCTCTTAAAAACACAAAACTTTTCTCAACTTTTTGGGTAACATGGGCGATTTCTGTCTGTAAAAGGTGAGAACTTCCCCAATCCTTGGAGTTAGGGGTAAGCTTTGTTCGGGGCCGGGGGTTTGCGGGCAGAATCCCTAAGTGGGGAAAGTACAATGGGCTAGGTCCCCCAGTGCCAACTTTCTCACAAACTTTTTTGGTTGGGAGATTCGGTTCCCCTACCAAAATAGACGTCCTGAAATAAAAGTTGGTAGCCTTATTCTAACTTTTTTTTACTGGAGGACCTAGTGGGACCTTCAGCCTTTCCCCTTGGACCGCCCCCTCTTAGGGACTCCGCGCAGGCTCCAGCGTACAGCCCCACTGCCGTGCGCATCACCATGTTCATCTCCTTCTTCTGGTACAGGACCATTTTTTCCCGGAGGGAACGCCAGCTGTTTTTTTTCTTCTTCTTTTTCTTCTGCTTTTCTTCTACCCCAGCATCTCTCCTGATTTTGGGGTAAAGTGTCTGGATAAAAATCAGTAACTTGGCTAGGATGTTCAATACACCTTTGATTTTGGTGTGAACAGCCCCTGTATGGTTTCCCAACCGTTACTAAGGGGCTTGCGCTTGCAATGTTCTCCCCTGAGGACCGAGCTCGCTTTGCAGGCGGGCAGTTGTCCGAGTCGGAGCGATTCGGAGCGATTCCCTTCTTGATTGAGTTGGCGCGAAACGGAAGCTTGGAGTCCAAAGGGGTGGTGTTCCTGCACCCACCAAAGCTGCTTTTCGCCTCATGTTGGGGGGGAGGCAGGCTGAGTCGCCGATCGGCAGCAGACGCAACACGGCCATTGCAGTAAATGCATCCAAGACTACTTGGATATCTAGATTATTTGGCAGTTCAACTCATGTTTCCACGGATATCAGCAGGTTGCGCCATGGTTTAGCTCGGGTATGCTTCCATTATGCTGCACCTTTTGTGGGCCATGCGTGGCTTGCAACTTCTCAACAGTTGCTAGGGTTTTTCCATGTTGGCCGACTTCCGTTGGGGCTTCCTTCAACGGGCTCCCTAGCTCTGACATCTATACAATGATATGGCAATACATCATGTTAAGTTATTTGTTTTTCTTTACGATGTGACCTGCCGTTCATGATTTATGTTTACTCACTTGATACCACATATATTGCTGCTATATTGCTGTGAATATCAATAATAACGCATAATGAAAGCTGCTCATGGTTCTTAGCCGCCAATTGGCTTGCCTGTGCGTGCTTTCCAATAGTAATACCATCATGTGTAGGAAAGGCGTTGCTTATTCAATGTTGCTGGCAATTTGTTTCACCTTTCCGGTTTGCCTTTAGATTTGGCTGTCTTGTTTGATGGGGAATGCTCGGACAGGAAACGGCATGGGAATATGAAGAGCTGAAACCCGCAAACATGGTTGGTGGACGTAGATCTCCAACACACGAATTTTCCCCCACCACCTATTGGATTGCCTAAAATCTAGGGGCGCGAACCTCACAAATGTAGTATTACAATTTTCAGGTGCCCCCCCCTTAAGGGGGTGGTGATCTAATTTTCCACCATCGTCGTTTCAGCCTTGGAAAAAAGAAGACTCCTTTGCTCAGGAGACTCCTTTGCCGGGGCTTCGCAGGGATGGTCAACCTCTCAATTCGGGAAGCTTAGGCAACCACAACCAGACGGAGTCTTTCTTTTGGTACCCCCGTTTTGGTGAGAAAAGAACGCAAACAAAAAAAAGCATGGGCCCAAGCTGTTTGAGGGTTTTTTTCTACCCACCCCAAGGCTTGTTAAGGGTTTTGAGGGTTTGTTGTGTTTTTCTCTTCCCCTCCCTCCCCTCCCTCCCCTCCCCTCCCCTCCCCTCCCCTCCCCTCCCTCCCTCCCTCCCTCCCTCCTCCCCTCCCTCCCCTCCCCTCCCCTCCCCTCCCCCTCCCCTCCCTCCCCTCCCTCCCCCTTTTTAGGCTTTTGATGTTTTTTACGGGTTTTTGAGGCTTTCCTCCCTCCTCCCCCTCCTCCCCTCCTCCCCTCCTCCCCTCCTCCCCTCCTCCCCTCCCTCCTCCTCCCTCCCTCCTCCCCTCCTCCCTCCCTCCTCCTCCCCTCCTCCCCTCCTCCCCCTCCCCTCCCCCCTCCTCCCTCCTCCTCCTCCTCCCCTCCTCCCCTCCTCCTCCTCCTCCTCCTCCTCCTCCTCCTCCTCCCTCCTCCTCCCCTCCTCCCCTCCTCCCCTCCTCCCTTTTTGTTTGCGTGTTTTTTTTTTGAGACATGAAGCGAGAGATCGATCCAGGTGGTGGAGGCCGACACCAAGTGGAGCGCCGCCAAGCTGGGGGTGGTCACGCAGGTGGGGGCCTGGTACAACGTGTGCAGCGTCACCAAGGAGTCCTACTGCCCCCGCCAGGAACTGCCCCTCGACTTCAGATCGGAGCTTCGGAGCGTCAGTTTTGCTGGGTCCCCCCCCCCCCACCCTCAAACTGGGGTAGACGGAAAAACTTGGCTTTTCTCAACTTCAGATTTTTGGATTTGCCCCCCCCTCCTGTCAACGCCCCAACGCCTCCCAAACGACTTCAGATCGGAGCGTCGGAGCGTCGGTTTTGCCCAGAACCCCGGCCCCCCATTTGTCAACCCCCTCCCCCCACCCCGAAACCGACTTTAGATCGGATATTTGGATTTCCCCCCCTCCGTTTTCAATGCCCCCCCGGTTAGATGGGTGTTTTTCAGTGGGTTTTCCAGGTCTGGTCGGGACATCGGACGCGGCATCGGGCCGTGTTTTGTTTTGTTTTTTTCTTTCGAGAACAGGGGGAGAAGCAAGCAAAACTTGAATCGGTTCCCAGCGAATCCGCCGGTTCTGGAAAGGTGCTTAGGTTTTCTTTTTGGTTGGTGCAGTGGTTCGGTGTCCATCAAACCCACAAGCCAAGCTTTTAGCCGGGGATCTGAGGCCGGGGATCTGAAGACGGACAGCCCAGCTATATGGCTATGTAGTTGTGTATCCCCCGTCCCTAATCACATGCTTTACCATCTAATCTGGGATGTTGATGGAACGTGGACATTTTTGCAGGGGGACCTTTCTATACGCGGTTCGCAATGCTTAGATTGAGGGGCTCCACATCATTTCGGTCATATGATTTGTTGCATTCCCATGACTTTCCCTTGGGTAAATGGAGCAAACAACGTATAAACAGGGAATGCCCTGATGCTTTTTATGGACCTGGGGGATTGCAGTTTTTGGTCGAGGGTGCTACTAGCAGACCTCAGCTATCAATTGGTGGACATTTTCCATAGGTTCAATCGATGGAGAGGGGTGATCCATGCAGAGTTGCCGAGAGCTGCCCCCGAAATTGCAACTGGTAGCCAGTCTGTGGGGGCGGGGGACATTGGATGGACGAAAGCCATTTCGCAAAAACGACATGAAACCATCATTGAAGCCACAACGTTTGTTGGTATTTACAGGGGAATCGAATTATTCCGCTGGGTTTCTGAACGGTATCGAAACCGTCCATCCACAGTAGGAAAGGCCTACACCTTCCAGGCAATTTTCCCATACGAGCCTGGGGGGGAGGTGTCAGGCAGATGGGTAAGTCTCTTTTTTGGGGGAACCCTCTAAAATGTGTGATTTCCTGTTTGTTTCCCATTTTAAACCAAAAAAATGGGGACCCCCCCTTCCCCCCCCCCCCCCGGAAAGAAACAAACAAAAAACAAAACAACAACAACAAAAGCACAGAAAAACGACGGGCCCATGTTCAAAGGCAGTGGCAGCAGTTTCCCATTGGGAGTTGACGTGAGTCGCATTCTGCGACTCGCTCGCGTGAGTCGGTCGAGCATCAGCATGTCTCGAGGCTCGACATGGATCGAGACCCAGCGATCCAAGTCTTCAAGGATGAGATGGAGCAAGTCTTCGCACTGATGGACCCCTTCTGTGCCTCAGCCAGATGTGATAGGCTAATAGGTCATATGTGCCTCGCAAATAAACTGGGTAGGCTAATTAATAGGTCACACGTGGCTCCCAAATCAAACTGGGGCAAACCACAGGTTTTAGTCTTTGTTTCCATATACCAAGCGTGCCATTTTGGGTATGCCTTAGCCACCATATTACCTTGTTTTTTTTGCCGAGGTCTGATTCGGCTCGTGTTGTTTGGAAGGTGGGGCTTCAACTGGTTCTGGTTCTTATTGGAAAGCTACCACGTGCTGAAATTAAGCCATCGAAGATAAAATTGAAGCTGCTTAGTCTGTGGGGTTTCCTGTCTTGCCTCCTGTTATTCTGCACGCTCGTGAAATTTAACGACGTTTACCTCCAACTCATCCCGAGAGTGCTTTTGCACTTGAGACTGAAACCTGTACTGAGTGCAGCGATTGCAGGCTGCAATGCTTAAGCTCCAGCGACATGTGACACAATCCACGCCCTCAGCCTGATGGATTGCGTTTCAGGCAAAACACTGGCAGGACAATTCCTTCCAGCAAACCAACATTTAGAGAAGTCATAGGAAGTCCTGTCACCAATCCTTGCGGCGACGATTCTATCACTGCCAAGCCTGTCATCACTCCTGTTGGTTCTGGCAAGAAACGACCTTAGCTGCATAAGAAGTGCACGCCCTCAGGGGCCGTGCCCTACAAGCAGAAACGATTCGCATGCTATCCCATATGAAGCACCCGCTCACTTGGGGTTGGTAAGGATGGTGGATGGTCACCAGCATTTTGTCAAGCTTAGACCAGTCTTGTAAGGGCCTCTATTCCATAGCCCATATAACATTGCCACAAACATGAGTGGCTTTGGCAATTCTTTGGGAGGGAGAAACTAAAATCGAATGCGCCGAGGCAAGACGGGGAGGGCCAGCGCTCTGGGATGTTACGTGCAGACCATCTCCTGGACCAACGGAGTGAGGGACAACGACAACTTCCAGGTGATGTGGCTCGGCGAGATCCGGCGATGCTGGATCAATTTTCCGGGTGGTTCCCAGCCATCCGGTTCCGTGTTTAGGGATTTAGGGTAGTGGGGGGTTCCATTCAAGCAACTACAAGTTAAGCCTCTGAGATGGTACGGTTCGGCCCTCTTTTTTTTGCCCAAGGAACCCCCCCCGAAAATACATGGTTTGTCCCTTTCGGTTAATATGGGTACGTGTCAAACTAGGGCACCACAAAAATGGCGCGGGTTTGTCTCTTTTTGAGGGATACCCCCCCAAACAAAAAGAAAGAACGAAAAGAACAACAAGAAAAAAACATGTGGTTTTGGGTCCCTTCGGAACTCTCCCCCCAAAAAAACTATAAAAGATACACACCCACAAATTTTGGAGGTTCACTAAATATGGACTAGAGTCTGAACATGCCCGTTTTTGTTGGGGGGCAACAGCTTGGGTGGCTGACCAGCACACTTTGAGTTTTGTGGTCCGTGGTCGAACTCGGAAGGCTCTTGAGGGCTCGTTGGTTCATGTGGGCACGGGTCAAAATTCAATCACCAGGGACCGCAGGTTTTAGTCCATGTTTCCATCTACCAGGTTTCCGTTTTGGGTACCTATTTTTGACCCACACCCATGTAGGGGAGCCCTCTTTGAGGTCTGGGGAGACTGTGTTCAGATTGAGGCAGAATACTCATGTCAACCAACGAATCAATCATCAATACTGATTTTGACAGCATCTACAAACAACACGATTGACCCTTGACCCTTGACATGGGCTAAACGGGACCCTGTGCCAAATAAAACATAGTTTGTTATGTTTGTTTTTGGCCCCGCAGAAAACCACCAGGCGCTTGAGTTTTGTGTTTTGTTGTCGCAGCCTACAGCCATTATTGCCAGAATCCTTCTTTCCAGGATCCCTGCGAATCACCGGTTCCGTTTCAGTTACACGAAGATCAGGATTTAGCACTGCCATTTTTGTGATCCAAAAGACCCGCACGAAAAACACCCGCCATCGTACTTGGAACGAGAGTTCCGAGGTGAATTTGATTGAGCAGCGCCCTGTTGGCCATTCTAGTAGGTGCTTCTACTACCTTGTTTCATAGGGGTTATAGTAAAACCTCCATAAATCTTCGTAATCATTATAGTAGAACCAGATTTAATGAGCGAATGAGCCCTATAATCCATCCCCTGTGGTTTCCTTGAAGAGAGATTAGGTTCATTCCCAACACCCGGACTCGGAAATTCCCTCTCAACGCCCCTCCCCCTCCGCCTTTTGATTCTTTAGATGGTTCTGGGTTCCTACCATTTTAACCCCGATCGGTTTTGATTCTGACTCATTCAGACCCAGCACTCCTGCTTGAGTGCTATTGGGTAACGGAGTTTTTTTGACTTTCACATTTGTTTGGAAGTCAAGCGGTTTTCCACTAAACCCACAACAAAGTCATAGACTCGCCTTGAACAGCACGCCTTTGCGTTTTCCTCTCAGGAACTAACTTCCTGGACAGTCAAGGGGTTTTCAAAACTAAACCCACCAAAAGTTAAAAGCTTGTTGCAGAGGGTTCAACAGCAGCAGGCCTTTTTGGTTCCTTACATGGTTGTTGTTGGGAACCTTTTACATGTTTGCTGATTGTGGTTTGGTTGAACTCCAATTCCACTTCACTGCTGATGTTTTTTTCTCCGAATGGTTGCCCAAACTTCCAACGTCGAGCTTAGGAACGGCTACATCGAGGAGCTGATGGCCAGCCGCTGGTCCGCGAAGTTTCGGCTCATCGACTTCTTCAAACTCGGCGGCGCCATGCCGGAGGAGGTGATCAACGGCCACGGCTCACAGATGCTGAACCTCTGGGCCGCGCGGCGCACGGCGTTGGGACGCGTACCCGTGCTGGTTGTTTTGGTTGTTTCTTCTTTGTTGTTTTTGTCTTTGTCTTTTTCTTTTTCCTTTTTTTTGTTTTTCTTGGGGGGGCGGGGGGAGGTTTTTTTTTTTTTGGGGGGGGAGGAGGTGTGTTGCTTTGTTTTTGTTTTGAAGGGGGGGCTGTGTGGGCCAATGGAGAGTCTCCGGTATGGGGCTCAACCCGAAGCAAACGATCACCAAGCACCTGTTGGAAGTGCCGGTTTCTTTATGCTAGGTCCCCCAGCAATTGGTGCCAACTTTCTCACCCCTTTTTTGGGTGGGAGGGTTCCCCTACTAAAATCGACTACAGAGAAAGGTTGGTACCCTTCTTCTAACCCCTCTACTGGAGGACCTAGTTCTGGGAACTGCAAAACGTCCCAATCTGACGCGGACCGGGCAACAATGAGCTGGCGGCAGGCGGCCAGGACTTACGGTGATGGTCTCCTCCCCCGTAAACACATTAATGTCCAACCACTCACTTCCTGAGTTCATGAACTTTAAACTTTGTCGGAAGGCCAGTTGAGTGGTAAATATAAGTTTGGACTTTCTTTGGGCCATCCACTGAGCAAGTGAGACCAAGCAACGCCATTCTGATTCTACCAGCAGGCCACATGCGCAACCCAGTGTTTGGCGCATTTTGCTTGGATGTTAGGACTTGAACTTTTTGCCAACTAATGGGTTTTCCGTATTTAACCACTAAAACTTATTCACTTTTGGCAGGGGAGCCGATTTCGCAACCGAGTAGTACTGCCTCTACTTGGCACACGGAAAGTTTCAGGTGCTACTTTGGCTGGAGGGAACCTCACGAATCTGGAGCCTGGCACAATCCTGAGTTGGTGATAAAAAACAACAGCCGAACTTTTTGTTTTTGTCACTAAATCGGTTTTCCTAAAAAGTCTAAAGTGCAGGAACTCAGGACAATCCTGTCTCGTGATCCGGTCTGGGCTTCCTGGGCATTGAGAACACTCATCGGGAAAACAACAAGCCCGCAGGCGGGCGCTCATCTACCAAGGTCATGCGGTTGAAAGACTTTGCGGCACACGAACCTTTACGTGGAAAGGTGTTGCCTCTTTGGACCACACATCTCCTTTTTCCACGCATGTGCGTGGGCTTTGAAATCGACGCACCGTCAGAGACCACCTGGTTGCAGTTCAAAGGTAGTCAGAGGTGTCCTGCAGACTTTGGGAGTTCGACCACTGCAAGCACAGGCTGTACATTTGACACGCACACATACACGCACTCATGAATCAGGTTTGCAAGCGGAGCAGCACATTCCTAATTGCCAGCATCATCTTGAGCACGTTGCTGCATCCACTGCAAAGCATGTTGTTCGGCAAGTGTGTACGTTGTGCTACCTGGGCACTCGTCATGCAGTTCAAATTGTTCTCCGCTGTAAGCACAGAGCGTGCAATTCATGAGCCTGATGCGACATGGCAATCACGCAGGGTTCAAGGCAATCACCCCAAGCGGGTCCCGCTGTTGGCGTTTTTGGCTTGAGCTCCGTGGTCTTCGCGCGACTCCGACATCCGACATCCGAGTCCTGGACGGTGATGTTCAACGCCATGTGCCCCGCGGAGATGGCGGCCAGGGGCTCCTACGCCCAGTGGACCGGCAACCTGTGCTCGGGCACCGAGGCGCGTCAATTATTTTTTCCGGGTCTTTTCATTTTTTTTTCTCGGGTCGGATCTGGCGTTGGTGTGCGGAGAATCGGATGTACCCCGCAGCCTTCCTGAGTTCCGGGACTTCGAAGCTTGTTGGGTTACCATTCTAGTGGTAGAAGAGCAGCTTGGTTACTTTTTCGGGGCCAATCCATGCCGGAAGTGAGACCCCAAGGAATGGGTGGTGTTCCTGAAACACCGTCCCATTGAACCCGGGGCCCCGCGTCAAAACGGGTACCAGCCAAGACAAAGTGTTCCATGTGTGGAGGCATGTGTGTTTGCAGGCCCAGTTCTGACAGCTCTCACATCCAGCCAAAGGAAGAGATCACTTTGTGAACCTCGCTCGGTGCGTGCTCTCGGGTGCTCGTCCCAAGTGAAATACGAAAAATTGGCCTGGGGGCCTTAGGCTTTGGCCGGATAGGCAGGGGAGGCCGCGACACACCGAACGAACTCACCCGCGGCGATGTTTTCCTTTACTCGGGAATCCCCAAAACCGGTTCATTCCCAACACAAGGACTCGGAAATTCATTCATTCTGCCTGCTGAGCACCAGCAAGTAAACGCAATGTCCGGCCAAGCAATGCCATGCTGATTCTAGCAGGCCATGTGTGCAACCAAGGAATGCCTGCACAGGGCTTCAGGTTTTTGGGTGGAGGTAACCTCACATGGGGAGGTTTCCCCGGAGTGCCCCAGCATCGCATCAGCGAGAGATAGATGGCACATGGAAGGTTTCCATGTGGCCGGCTAGCTTTGATTCGTTGGCTTGCCCTTCCAATTGGCTAAGAGTATGCTTTATTTCCCCCTGGTGGCTTTAAAGGGAATCGATGTCACTATCCAGGCAACTCTCGGTACCTTCCAACCATTCTTTCCAGGGATCCGAGCTTTTCTAAACCTCCGGAAAATCAGGTTGAAAACGGATCCGGTTTTTGGCATTACGATGGTTAAAAAGCATGGAAAAGGAATCAACCCCCAGAACTCTAAGACCTGCAACCCCCTGGAATCAACCCCTAGAAGGGGGAATCAACCCTGGAAACCCCCAATCAACCCCTACATATTGTATGTTTCCCGGCAAATGAAGGCATTTCTTTCTCCAGGCAACTTTTCTTCAATCATCAACCCCCTTCTTTTCCAGGCAACTTCAGCAATTAAAGGTCACAACCCGACTTCATCCCCGCTTCGAGCTAAACCCCGGGCTTGCGCTTGCGCGGGAGCCCCTGAGGCGCGCTGGGAGAACTGCCCCAACTACTTCCCGGCCTGCGAGGATGGCCCTCGCTGCGAGAAATGGGAATGCGCCCTGGGCCTTGACTGCTCTCGCTTGAGCCGCGTCCTCGAAACCAGGGCTCTGGTGGTTGGAATGGAATCCACGAATCTGTGATACGGAAAGGGCTTTCCAAAGACGATCTTGTGTTCATAGAAAGGGGGATTCCCAAAAGTATCACAGAAGTGGTTGGAGAAACCCCTTGATCCCACAACCCTGCTCAAAACCGATTCGGGTAGATGAAGGTTAGTACGGGGCAGTCCCAGCCAGAAACAGTTGCGGATATCCGCCTTCTTAATTCTTTAAATGATTGGTTCTGGGTCGACCATTTTTGTACCGGGCTTTGATTGTGACTCAGTTGCCCAAAGCGAATCGACCTTTTGACCTTTTGGTTTCTCCTTGTTGGTCTAGTTTTAGTCACAAAAGGTTAACCTTTTATTTCTGGGTCCTTTGGGCAAGTGAGTATTGGGCAACGGATCTTTAGACTTCAACTGTTTGGTTGAAATCAAGTTGGGTTTTCAAAACTAACCCCACAAAAAGTTAAACTTGGCGAGACGTCTTTCTTTTTTCCGCAGGTTGATTTTTTGGCGAGGAGTTCGGAGCCCTTCTGTCCATGTTGCCATGGAACATATAATCTTAGGTACCTTATCTCGAAGCGTTTGATTTATAGAAGAAGATGATGATATTCCCGCAGGTGGACTGTTTTGGGAGGAGTTGGAATACCCTTCTGTCCACGTTGCCGTGGAATCCACCAGAAAGCCCCGTTTACAGGAAACTGGTTCGGTACCAGTGAGACATGTGTGAGTCCAGGGTTTTGGTTCTTGAAGTTCAGCCCGTTCCCATTGGGCTGAGCTTCTCTTTTGAGAGGTAGACGCCAAGTGAAGCCACAACAGGTCAAGCCACGAGACACAAACTGCATCAAACTGCAGACGATTTTGGCCGGGCAAGACGTACAAAGTACTGAAACCGATCATTGGACCGGGGTTTCCGAGCCATTTAATCAACTCGCGTTCAACAAGTTCCACCTTTTGGAAGAACACCCTCAGGGTGTCCGGGCCATTTCCTCTGTTGGAACCTTCAAAAGTGGAATCCTATGGTTTTAGTGGAATCCACCCGTCTTTTTGATAAACTTTGATTTAGGGAAAATCCAGCGACTGACCTCGAGGCATGAACAGCGTGCCCTGCACCTTGACGGCTACCGATCCACCGGTTCAAGGAGACACCACAGGACCATCCGAGGGCTTGCCATGGTTCGGATCAGCAGAGGCTTCCTGGGGCAGATCAATTCTGTCCAGTTCCGAGGCTTTTAGGTTTTCAGGTTTTCGTGGGAGTTTTTATTCAGCCCGCTAAGAGTTCAACTTTTCGCAGGGGATCTAAGGACAGCCAAGAATTGTGCGCTATTTGTCATTGCTATGTGTCATTGGTCTTGTCGTGCCAGATATGATGTAGAGACTTTCAACTGCCAGCTGCTGCTGCTGTGGAGCCGGCGCAGGCCAGCCAGACATCAAGGTTTGAAGGCGATCAGTTCGAATGGCTCTTGCTCCCGCCTGCTGTGGCAACAGGCATGTTTTCGCCGCTTCATGGACAAGCCTTTGTTGCACGAGTGCGATACCTTGGCGTATGAGGTGGTGTTTGGCGTAGTTTGGGCCTGGTGACATGTGTAGGTGCTTTTCTTGCCACTAGATGGGTATTTTCCATTTTTCAGAATTTGGTGAACGTCCAGGTTGCCAGCTGAACTATAGCATGGGTCTCAGACCTGCGATCGTTTCACTCGTCTTTCGTCTCTAGAAGAGCAGTTGCGGTCTCCGTCAATTCTGACTTGCCAACTCCATCAAATTTATCAATATCTTTTTCCACCCAAAGCATGGACACACATGCACATGGCCTGATTCAAAAATAAGCATTTGAGAGTTACATTGAATTAGAAGGCATACGCCTGCACATGTAGACAATTGGAGAAGTAGTGCAAATGAAATCATATGCGTTTGCATTTGTGAAAATAATTCAAGTGATGTAGCTCAACTGATTTGCCTGTACAGACAGTTGAGAAACATTGCACCTGGCCTGACATGAAGACGTAAGCTTGCAAAGTACTAAGCTTGGAATGGCTTGATTTGAACGCCTAGTTCTTGAGAGTAAATGGGATTTGTCTCCACACCGATTCGTCTAACCACAGATTCGGGGTACCTGAATCCTCCATTTGCTGAAATGAATATGTTTTGTTTTTTTTGTTCTCCCTTGTTGGCTTTACAAGGAATTCATCACTAAGAGGTTATTCGCTTTTAGCAGGGGAGCAGAAAGCAACCGAGCAAAGGGTCGGAACCAAAGCGAATCGGCGAGGACTCTGCGATGATCCGGTGAACATCACCTCCTGGCTGGCCGCTGGGGCCATGGAGGCGGATGTTGTGGAGGAGCCCTGCTTCAACGGCAGGGGCCTGCGCAAGCGCTTGTGGTGCGTGCAGGGCGCCTCGCCGGCCAAACCTATGACCGACAAATGAGTCATAGACAGCGGAATTTATTGAATTCCTAGATAGCTTTGTATTGATGTGTAATTGTGAGCATTTCTGATTGAGTGAGGGGTTAGTGGTATGACTATTTCTACGTATCGCCAAACGGAATGGAGTTTCTTAGAATTGGTAACCCTCCAAGTGGTTGGCTTCCTGTCGGAGATCTGTTGAAACCATCCAGCCAAGAGGTGCGCTGTTTGGAGACAGGACCTTTGGTTCGAGTTTGCATAGGGGGGACCGGATCATGTAATGTGAACCCTGGCCCCTTCTTTAGCGTGGGTGATGAGACCCGGGGTTTACCCAGAAAAAAACCGACCCTGTTTACCTTTTGGCCCGTTTTTTTGAGTTTCCTTCGTTCGGGTTGTTGAAGCCCAAGCCTAGTTTCTTTGGAAACCAGGTTTTTCGTGTTCAAAGGGCTATGTTGGGTTTAGGGTTTTCCTGGTTGAAATAACAGCCCCGTCCAGAGGATCAGTTGGAAAACCGGGCCATTGGTCGATATTCAGTTTGGGGCCCGGGATGTTCTACCCCGCCCAAAAAAAACGCAAACAGACAAATATATCAATATAACACGAGGGTCGTAACTCACAGGACCCACCTCAGGTTCCTGTGCCCTTCTCAGGCAAGGGAATGACCTTTTATCCATGTGAATCCAGGTTCATTCCCATGAAGCTCGTCTTAAGATGTTGTTGTGGTGCTAAAACCGAAGCCAATGGGGGAAGTGCCCAGCTTGCCCTACTGCTGGTGCTCAGGGAATGACCCAGGGGTTCGGAAATGGAAGGAGATCTCAAAGCAAGCCATGGGCGATGGGTTAGAGAGGTTGTTCCCTCATTCCCTCCAAACAAAATCCATTACTTCGCTTCGAGCAATCCCCTCCACACTCACGAGCTTGGTCGGCGGGGAAAAACACCCAACTCCTTGAACCATTAAACAAAACCACCCCCCCCCCCGAATCCTTGAGCTTCCCTCAATTCTCCGCCAGCGGTTTTTCCGAGCCGAGGCATCGAGTGGTCGCTGCCGGTCGGCACGACTTTGCTGGCGGTGTTCATTGGCGTGGCCCAGTTCCTGTGGGCCAAGACACACCCGGCCAAGCCCAAGCAGAAGGATGGGAGCTGTGATACCAATGCGTTGTTTCTCTGTGATACCAAGGCGGTACGATTTTTCTGGTTGAAAGGGAAACTAGTGGCAAACCACCAAATTTTGGTGGGTCTGCGTTGTTTCAACTCACTTGGCCAGTGACCAGCCCAAGGAAAGTGTACACTTTTTGGGACACCACTAAAATACAGGGAGAGCCACCAAGGAAACAGGTGTAAAGTGTGTCCACTGGCTGGGTGAGTTCCTCTGTGATACCAATGTGGGTGTGGCGGCGAAGCGTACCCTCTTGGTTTCAAGGGAAACTATTGGCAAACCACCATTTTGGTGGGTCCGTTCGAAAAAGGCATGCATCATGGTCATTCTGACTACATGGGCGAGTCTGTGGACCCAAGACGTGCATGCAACCACCGTTTGGGTAGGAAAATGGAAGGCTTTTCATGTTTTTCCCTCGCTCGCTTCCTCAGTTCCTGAACTTTGCACTTTTTGGGCTTGGACCATGATAGAAACGAGCCCGATCAGGAGGCCCCAAAAGTGGTCACGGAAGAGAAGCGCAGCATCGCCCTCTTCAAGTCGGAGGCCAAGGACGGACTTCGATTGCCTTCGATTTCTCGAAGTTGATCACTCGTTTTTTTGCCCCCACCGTGGTACAAGAGAATCCCTTCTTTTTACGGAGGGTTAGTCTTTGGGAAGCCCTTTTTGTTGTATAACAGAAGTGGTCATTGCCCACAGCCTGTTCTGGGTGTATTCTGCGATTTGGGGAACCCTCTCCAAAGCTGTTGCAAACTTGCTGGTCTCTTTTGCCTTATTGAACTCCATCCAACGAGAGCTCTCTGGTTTTCAAGCATGTGCACTTTCCAGTTGCTGAAATTGTTGTTTTCTTTGGCTTTAAAAGGACTCGATTTCACTGGACACATGTGTTTGCGATATTTTTCCCTGGGACGACAAAGCAAATGCAGGACACTCTTGTTGAGAGGGCTTGAGGCCTTGATTCGGCAGGGCGCGCGAGTTTGAACACCTCCTCGAAC